GCCTCGCCCAACGGCTTGCTTTCGGTTCGCGCCGTTAGCTCCTCAGTCGCAGCGTTTGTGCGCTTGGTCTCCGTGCGCACGTCGCTCGGCTTCGCCTTGCGTACTGCCATGAGATGATCTTCGTGCAGTCTGGCCGACTCTATAGCTGCTCGCATCGATCCTGGCCTGTCCAACCTCACCTCGGCTGCTAGTTCGGCTTTAAGCCTTCCAACGAACGTCCCTACTAGCGCACTCTCAGGCCAATCCCTCACTCTACTAGCAATGCGCTCGAACTCCTTTTGAAACTCCCTCAGACTTCCAACATGCTTGATTCTCGAAAAGGCTTCATTGTAATCGTGGTAGTCACTTGAGCCAAACCTTGTGATGAGCTCTTTTTTGAAATCCCTCCAACGCATGTGCTCGCCATGGTTCTTGTGCATCACCCATTGCCACCATACGTTTGCTTCTCCATCCAGATGATAAGCAGCAATTTGCACTCTTTCGTACCTTGGCACATCATTGATCTCAAAAAATTGCACAGCTCGACTCAACCACGCATCTGGATCTGTCCCCGTGAACGTGGGCATGGATATTTTTGGCCGGGTACTTGCCCTCTCGTCCACTTGTTCATCACGATCGTGGCGTCCCTCGTGTCGCCGTGCGTCGCGCCGTCGGCCATCGCGGTGTGGCCTCAGCTCATCATGTGTCGCATGCGACGCGTACGATGCGTGTGATCGCCAGTTGTTGTCCTCCTCGCGCCTTCGTTCGTGATGTGCGCGTCATCATACCGTCGCCGATCGTCATGGTGGTGGTCCGCACGTGATGCGTGTGTGCCCCTCGATCGGCGATCGTACTCCCGCTCGGTCCCGGTGCTTGTCGCCGTGGACCTTGACCCGTGACGCCTCTTTGGCCATGTGTTCATGCGCGTTAGCTGCCCGGCCAAGTCCTGTACCATCAGTTCGATCCTTCCCAAGTTCTCGTTGTAAGAAATTTAACGGGTATATCCATAACTATTAGGCGGAATTGAATAAACCCTA